CCATTATGAGCATTCTGTACTCTGTCTTCTAATGCATATTTAATAGTACATAACCAATTGTCACTTTATAATTTCACCCATCACCCAGCTGCAGTTGGATTGATGTCAAAGTTTCTGATACACATATACCAAAATCGCCAATATTATATTCTGAGCAGTTAAGAGTTGGAAGGGATCGCGAGGGTCATCTAGTCCAACCCCATGCAATGCAGGAATCTCAATGAAAGCATCCATTACAGATGGCCATCCAACCTCTGTTTTAAAAACTCCATTCCACCGTCAAACAGCTCTTACTGACATTTAGTCAGAATCTTCTTTCTTGTAACTTGAAGCCAGTGGTTCGGGTCCTACGCTCCAGAGCAGGAGAAAACAAGCTTGCTCCATCCTCCATGTGACAGCCTTTTAGCTAGATGGCTCTCAGTCTCCTCTTATCCAGTCCAAACATGCTCAACCATTCCTCTTAAGGCTTGGTTTCCAGACCCTTGACCATCTTGGTCACTATCCTCTATATACGTTACAGCTTGTCAATATCCTTCTTAAATTTTGGTGCCCAGAAATGGACACAGTACTCGAGGTGTGGTCTGATCAATGCAGAATAAAGTGCTTTAGGTACTTCTGTGAGCAAGCATTTAACCCGAAATATGCCCTAATTACATATTTTAAAAAAATAACCCTCTGTTCCCATTGCTTAAATTGCTTTTAGTACAAAAACCTAAGTTTATCTTCTTTTGTTTTAGGTAATAAACATGTCAGAGGAGCTTGCACAGCTAGAAGCCTTTCTGAAGGAAGCAGAGTCTGCTTCTGACAGTGGTATTGAAGAAATGGAAATTCCAGAAGCTTCCCAAGCCAACACTGAGACTGCCATTCATTCTCTCATTGAAACTTTGAGGAATAAAGAGTTTATGTCTGCTATAGTACAGGTCAAAGCTTTCAGGTACAATTTGCTAATATTCTCATTTGAAAAGGATAAAATTGAGAGGGACCTTTATGCAATGGCCTACTTACATCAGTATATTTCTTATTTTATCAATACAATTGTAAGGTAACTCCAAACATGGAGTTAAGTTCTCTCATAACTGTAAGGTATAATAGTTTTTAACCTAGAATTTTGAAGCAAGCCTACTTTATTAAAAAATGGAAATATGATAAACTTCTTTATAAGACAAAGACATTAAATGCATCTTTTCTGTTTTTCCAGATGTATTTGGCCCAATGACATATTTGGCAGTTCTGAAGATGATCCAGTACAAACATTGTTGCAGATATATTTCCGTCATCAGACCCTGGGCCAGACTGGCAGTTTTGCAGTAGTTGGCTCAAAACAAGATATGTCAGAAGCCAGCTCAAAACTAATGGAACTAAATTTAGAGATCCGGGAGTCACTGCGCATGGTGCAGTCTTATCAGCTTCTGGCAAAACATACAGCAGTGGGAAGTTTGAGCACTGGATTTTAAAAACTACTGTCCCACAGAGAAGAACTGAAATGGTCTCAATATTACCAAGCACCTTGAAGTACTGGGAGCAAGCTATGTTATTCAGAAATGAAGGTTTTTGAAACCTCATAGCCATCACCTTAACTTTTTCTTAAACAGTAGCTGCGTATGGACAGTATGAACACTTTTTGAAAATAACTATATACAAACTGCATTAGAAGAAAAGGGCTAAAAACAATGCCTACAAATGCATTATTATCTTCAAAAACAGAAATGTAAGACATGTTGCAATAATGGCCTCTTGATACTGAGACAATTAAAAGCAGGTAAATGAGGCTAAAAATCAAGGCTGGTTATTTTGGCTGAAGACCTGCGAGGCTTCTTCGCTTTCAAGCAGCAAATAAATCATCAGGTGATGCCAAATTAATACACTTGGCAATGTCATGAGGAATGTGCTGTCATACTGGAGCTGGAAAGACTGCAGACTCCATTGATTTATCAATGTTGTATTTACTCTACCTTCGTCTATAATGGTGAATTATGTGTGAAAGTAGGAATGAATGGATATCTGACAATTGCATTTTGAAGGTATGGATGTTTGATATGGTCTGAGCATGCCTAAAAAAGCACTGCAAGATTATTTTTGGAAGAAAAAAAATATTTTATTAGATTTAACTCCTTAGTCTGTAAATGTTATGGCATTTAATAATATTTTAAACTGGAATTATCCAGTTTTCAAAAAGAAATAATATATCTAACTCGTTTGGAATGCTGCTCAGTTCTCTGATCAGCGCTTATTACAAATATTGATAACGACTAACCAAAAAGTAGCTGCCTGCAGAGACTTTAAACTGTATATTAAAAGATATATGTTGCTCCTCAGCAACTCATTAGAAAAGTTAACTTATTTTATTCTGTACATACTCTAGAAATTGTATAGTGTAAAATCCAGTATTTTTCTTGTACAATTGTGCAATGCACTGTTACATGAGAATAGTGTATAAAGCTGGGGGGAGGGGGGGAGAATAGTGGCTGTTAATGGAATACATGATCTACATCTGTGTATTCTAGAGTTCAAGAAAAGGTGTAAACTTGCTTGTATTTTCATGATAACGCTTAGGAATTTGGGACTGTAGAAGGGAGAGACCACTGACTACCAAAACCTACAATATACTTTAGAATTCCTTGTTAAAATCTTGTAGCACAAAATAAACTGGATTCTATTGGAACCAAAACTTTTTTAGAAGCAAAAAAGTATGAATGTCTCATGATTCCTGAAGGAACAAATGCCCTGTATTTTATGCATCTCTCCTACCCACTGTGATTGATGTTAAAGCAAAAAAATTGGGCTCTGAAATGTCAGGGTGTAGAATGTAGACATGAAGTCTCTTAGCATGGCCTTTTTTCCACTGGGGAAATGGAGTAGACATGTAATTATGCTGAAATACATTAAATTAAGGCACTGTGCATACCATTGGACTGCTGACACAAGTTCTGTTACTTTTCAAAATCCGCACATTCATAATCACTGTATTATTTTTTACCCCGATATAATTTAATTATTTTGAAGGCTCTGTGGTACTGTAGATTATGTTCCTAATTATTTAATACACTTTTAAAAGGGGTGTGTTTAGTTTTTAGTGGTGTATTATACTTTTTACATCTTCTATTGGCCTTTTTGTGTTTCTTTTTGCTTTGGGGAGGGTTGGTAAAATAAAATCTCATATCTGCTACCTTGTGTATTTTCTGAAAAGGATTGTGGGGTATGTGTGCAAACATTTAAATAGGAATATCACTTTTATGCTTTATTCTAAGACAACCTTAGCATGCTTAAAAATAGACTAGCTATAAGTGACAAAGATACAATACACATCCTCTAACCAAACATACATGTTGTATGCAGTGCTGTAATTGCACTGCATGACTTGCTAGGTGTAAGTGTAGATAGTAAATAAAAGTAGAGGGGGAGCTGCTGCAAAACTCTGCAAGATGTGGTGGTTCTCCTGAGTTATTTGTATATGTTACTGATAGTTCAGAATTGAGCCAAACTCATTTTTGTGCTAATGGGGGGGGGGGAGAGATCCATAGTTCATTGGTAGAATATATTAGATAAATCCATTGCAGTCCAAATTCAATCTCTGGTACCTCCAGTTAAAGGATGTCCATAACCTTGGGAGCCTGGAGTGCTAGTTCAAACGCAGGCAAGGTGAGTAAGATGTACAAGGTGGATCTACATGCAAGTACTTGGAACAATCAGTGAGATAACAATAAACTTATTATGTTCATTTATAAGTTTCTCCCACTGAAATCACTGGGACTTCAGAGATGCTTTTCATTGGATTGGGCCTAAGGCGATGCTACTACACAGAATAGGGAAAGGCGCTTGAGTGGCTGAAGGGATCATTAGCAGTAGGACAAGGCCTTGACTATTGAGAAATCTCCCATCCCTTTGTGAATTCAATATCCCACATCCCCACTCCTGTTGCTGACCAGGCTTGATGGGAGGTATTAAAGAGGAGGTGGAGTGTGCCCAGTTAACACTACAACCTATTTTCTTGCAATCATACTAGCTTCTATCCAGAAGCAAGCCCTGGGTAAAGTGTATCGAAGAAGCCATTTGAAACTTCAGAACCTTAGCACTTAAAGTTGATACTAGAAAGCAGGTATTTAGCAATACACAGCAATTTGGAAGTATAAACAACACTACATATTAGTATTTAAAATGACTGCAGCACAGATCATGTAGTTCTAGTAATGTGGCCAGTGACAGTTTCAGCTGCCTCTGATAAGCTTAAATTGCTTTAACCAAACAATAAATCCCTATCCCTCCATAAAAAATAGTTATACTATATCAACTATACTGACATAGTATAGTATGTAACAGTTATAACAGCAAAGCATGGTTCCCATTTGAGAATGTGCAACAGTGAGCCTTAGGCTCATATGCTGTCCAAGTACAGTGGTACCTCGGGTTACGTACTTAATTCGTTCCGGAGGTCCGTTCTTAACCTGAAGCACCCTTTGGCTAATGGGGCCTCCTGCTGCCGCCGCACCGCCAGAGCACGATTTCTGTTCTCATCCTGAAGCAAAGTTCTTAACCCGAGATACTATTTCTGGGTTAGCGGAGTCTGTAACCTGAAGCATATGTAACCCGAGGTACCACTGTACTAGAAGAGAAAGTTTAAAGCTTCCATTTGCAACCACCAACAGCCTCCTGTATTCAGATGTAATGGGAAACAATGGCAAATTGAAGCTTTAAGCTTCACTTCCTAACAGGAGTGGTGGCATGGAAGCCCAGGGATCACTGCAGGTCCATTCATCTAATGCCAACTCCGGAGAGACTGATCTGCTTTCAGAATTAAAATCTGCAAATGATCTACCCCTGTTTTTTTTTGGGGGGGGGGGTTCAAGTCAAAGTTGTTGAGCTTTAGGGAGGAGAAAAGCCCTGTTTTTATACAAATACTGTCTTAGTTCCATTTCGGGGGGGGGGGGCGGTAAAGGCAAGGGTCAAAGGAAAAAGTCACTCACAATAATAACGCTTTGAATGAAAACACCCACAGAGAGAAATGAAATAGTTACAAGCCGTGATGAAGCATCACAATCCCTTTATTTATACATTCACTCAGCTAGCGCCTCATCATCATGAAAGTTGTAGGTAATATATAGAAGCATGCCATTCACTGTCTTGGCTCAAGACAGTGAATCTTAATCTCTCAATTTTGGATGATGGCCAGCCATTAGACATATCCTGCCACTCACCTACAAACTTAAACTGGCATTGGTCAGAAATAGTTCTCCCGTTGTACCAAATACTGTACCCACTGTACCTATCAATATTCAGTTATGCATACAACTTAGATCCAGAACAATTGTCTAGTTTTTACCCAGCACCATTCAAGTACATCTCAGTTGAAGAAATCGAAAGGACTATACATCACTGCCTCCTACTTCTAACATTAAACAATTCACTGCTATTCCACCCCTTTTCATATCAGTTATATATTTGATTCTCCATAAATTTTAACTATTTCCCATAACTTTACCTGCCCTGTATAGAGCAATTGTCAATGTGAAACTCATACGTACAATTATATTTCCCAGTTTGGGGCCACTTAAGTGTGCATTAGGTTCTACATAGAAGCATTTCATAGCAAGAGGGTAACAAGGAAGAAGACTGGTACACATTCCTCTACGCAGATGGGTAGGAGGGTTTAAATAAGGCTCTCCCATCACCAGCAACACCCCCCTCTTTTTTTGCTGAACTTGCTTTTCAAGTCTTAGTTCTCTCCAAAAAAATCTAGCTGAGTCACAGTATGCCAGGCAGAGACCCACCCTCCCCCTTAATACAATTACAAAAAATGAAGTGGACATTAGGTTGCATTAGGATTCACAATTGCTTTACTACAGCTTCATTGGCAGGCTTTCCACTGCTGCAGCCTGCTGTTTCCAAACAAAATATCTGCGTCACTGCAAATTTATATTAAGGATTCTTTCGCTACTATCCTGCTCAAATAATATATTTAAAACTAAATGTACTATCACAAGAGAGACGTTTGCCTTTGCACCTTCCACAGAGATCCTGACGATGGGGTCTCTTGGGATCTACATGGCGCAATTTCACAGGACAGACGCACCGTGTCTGCTTGCAACTCTGAAATGGGACAGAAAGAGGGACAGTATCTGAAACTACTACAAGCATCCATGTACAAGTTCCGCAGATAAAATAGGCTTTAGGAGCCTGCATAGGTATAAGCTTCACAGGTTCCATGACTTTTTTAAACTCCAACCTAAGCACCGCTTTCTGTTTGGGGGCCTCTTCAGTGACTGGAAGACTCATGAATAATAGGATGCAACAACAACTACTAAAGCAAACTGTTAACGCTACTATTATTGTTGCATCTCCATCACACACACCCCGACTACAGAAGCACAGTTTCCCTCTAGGTAGAACAAGGAAGATCAATTCCAAGTACTGTACAGTGGTGCCCCGCAAGACGAATGCCTCGCAAGACAGAAAAACCGCTAGACGAAAGGGTTTTCCGTTTTGGAGTTGCTTCGCAGGACGAATCCCCTATGGGCTTGCTTCGCAAGACGAAAATGTCTTGCGAGTCTTGAGATTTTTTTTCGCTTTTCCCCCCCTTTATCTAATCTGCTAAGCCTTTAATAGCCTTTAATAGCCTTTTAGCAGCTAATCCCCTAAACCTTTAAGCCTTTAATAGCCGCTAAACCGCTAATAGCGCTAATCCGTTAAGCCGCTAATAGGGTTGCTTCGCAAGACGAAAAAACCGCTAGACGAAGACTCTCGCGGAACGGATTAATTTCGTCTTGCGAGGCACCACTGTATAAGACTCCCTAAGAAGTGGTGAATGCCATTAAGAAGCTGATAGTAACCACAATGGTTAAATGTCTTACCTCTACCTCCACTGTCGGAGGCAGTATATCTCTGGATATCAGCTGCTGTCAGGAACTACAAGTGGGAAGAGTGCTGTTGTGCTCAGGTCCTGCTTTCAGGCTTTGCACAAGGCAGCTGGGTTGGCGTCTGGAAGAACATGATGCTAGTCTAGGTGGGCCTGATCCAGTAGGCTCTTAAGACTGCCCATTGGGGACATGATGCATCTTGAACTTAAACCCTACATATGTCTACATATGTAGCAGAATGCACAGCTGGGGATCAGATATTTAAATTTTCCACATAAAAAATAATAATAATTAAACTTCATTTCCAATTGCAAGCAAATTGAGAGCAAGCAAAGGGCTGGACTATATTTGTAACAATTACACGGGGAGCATTCCAAAGTCCTTCATTTATCTGAAGCAACAGTTCATTCTACCACCACATGTAGAACATGCCTCCATTAAACCTAAACTACTCCACAAGGTATCCAAAGATGAACCAATCATGGGGCCGCATTAACTAAAGATATACGCCATGGCCTAGTTTGGACTTTAAATCATCAGCCAAATATACCATGGTTTAATAGTAGTTCTGGAACAAGCACCTCCATTTCAATCACCCACCCAGCTTCAATTAAAATATCCTGGTTTCTTAAGCCAGTATTTCACATGACCTCCGAACCAAGAAACTAATTTGAGTTCACTCAAAACCACTATAAGATCACCAACACTGTACAACAGATTAAGAGCATTTTCAATGAACAATTAATTTCCCCCATCCTTCCAATTTACTTATCCTTCCTATTAGCCATCCTGGTGCAATCAAAGTTAAAAGGTAATTCAATTATTAAATTCAGGTATCACCACTAGTGAGAACTGATCTTGCACAGGAAAGAGAACCAATTAAATCTACATACTCAAGTACAGAATGTACACGTTAAACTATAAATGCTGTTCTAGTGGGTTTAGAGGGTTTTCATGCTCTTCATGACTAAGTGCACATCTCAAAATCTGAGAGGGGATAGGCAAGGGCCAACTGAGCAGGAGGCTGAATCTTGATTCTATATAAGCACACCTGTTTTTCACAGGGGCACAAGCATTCTATACTGCAGCATGGCTATCCAAATACAAGCAGTAGAAGAGACAGAGACAGAGAGATATCTAATGCTTAAAAACAGTATGTCTGGAAAGTATTTTGCCTTCAATGGCCTCCTAAGAGTTGCTTACTTGGCAGGTGATATCCTCCACACGGTAGGGATTGTAGGATTTCTGGCAAGTTCGGCAGAACTGCCTAAAATAAACCTGAGGGTGGGTGGGGAGAAGGAGAAAAGTATGAAGGCAACTCCTTACCAAAGGGCAAGACCACCACCCTCCACTGCTCTAGTGACAATACTCACCTTGTTTGTGCCCTGCACACACCATACATAGGCACTCTCCCAGCGGATGTTGCAGTCCTTGCAGTGGTAATAGCCATACTTCTGCTCTAGGAACTAGAGAGCATAAACCAAACAGTAAGGGAACTGACATCTCAAGCTGAGCAGCCTGTCGCAAGCCCTGACCTTGTGCGCCTTAAGAGCAACTGGCAGCAGCTTCCCTCACAAGCTTGAAGAATCAGAAGAATCTCTATTTGCACCAACCACTAGCCACAGCAATAAAACAAAACACAATGTGTTGAAGACAGAGGTTGAAACTTAACTATACAAAATACATTCTGGAGGTTTACATCAATAATCAAATAATGGATCTTATTCTAATTGCTTGAGGCAGCGTTCAAAATTCACCGGGCGCATTTTGAAGCCAGCTATCGGCCACTTGTGACCAAGTGAAGAGGCCCAGGTGCCAGGCGGGCGTATCACGTCTCCACCATCCGTAGGTGCATGCCTGGGGATCACTGGATCATGACTTTTCATAACCCATCCTCTAGAATTCTATCCATTGCATTGTATTTTATCTGCACAATCGGAATGAATTTCAGGAACCAAAAAGTTGTATTGAAAAATACAATTTTTCAGCTTTCTGGCCCAAAAATGGCAACTAGGCATTTCGGTTTGGTGACTAACCCTGGTTTAAGGAGCCATTTGGCACCTACCTTATGAGTTTCTAACACTGCCTTGAAGAACAGTAACCAACTAACCTCCAACTTAAGCAACACTTTCAATCTAAGTCCAGAGAGTTTCGTCTCTCTTCAATACCTTCTATATTGAGGGTAAGAACTGGCCAATCTTCTCCCTGCAAGGTTTTCTTCTCTTGAATAAAGCAACACTATTATTTCACTAGGAGGTGGAGAGTGTCAGTGCCCCATAGCAATGTAGGTAGTTCCATGAACTGAACTTCCTACTCATTAACTGAGCCAGATCTGGCCTCTGTCTTCCATACCCTAATCACCTCTAGGTTAATTACTGTAATACACTTCTAATGGGCCTGTCTGGAGCTTCTGAAATCATCTTCAGGTTGTTCAAACTACAGCTACCAGGATTCTGACTAGAGGCAGTAGATCAAGTCACATTACTCCAATTTTATACAATTTATGTTGGAAACCAATTTATTTGTTGCTTCATTTGTTTATAGAGTATCTTAAAGACCAGCTTCTTTCACATAAAACTGCCTAAGGCCTGCTCCAACTTCCCCACCCTAAGAAATAGCAAGCAGGCAGGCCCTCCCACCCCCATTTTTATTCCTACAGCACCCAGAAACTGGCATAGCCTTCCCAGAGATATTTGGCTCCATTTCCACCCACTGGAACACAAGCAAAGACTTGCGTTCAGTGAGCTTCTTGGACACTGCTTTTTGGTACACGCGTCTTTTGCCATTTTGATTGCACAGGCTGCATTTTAGGCTTTTTGGTATTGTCTTGATAAACTACTGCCAGCCACCTTGATTGCTCACCACAGGAAGAAAGGGTGTCACAGCTTGAAACAAGTTTCTGCAAAGGGGAAAGCAAACCAGTCATTTCTGCTCTCCATTCCATCCACATGTTTTCAGGATGTGGTGGGCCAATCCACACCAGAGGAGTGGTGGGGATGCAGCTTGGTATGCAGAGGCAGGGAGAGTACTAAATGGAACTTTTGGGTCTCCCCACCAACCCCACAATCCTATGTCTCCCGGCTAGTCTAGTTTCTCCATACACAATAATGCATGAGGCTCAGAGCCCAGCCACAAATAACTATGAAGGGATTCTTTCAATTAACTGCATTTCTGGGCTCCTTATTGCACATGAGCAACTGTAAAAAGTCAGGGGTGGGTACCATGTGGCCCTCCAGATGTTTTGATCTCCCACCAGTCGCAACCAGCATTACCTGTGCTCAGCAACATCTGGAGAGTCACAGGTTCCCCACCACTGGCCCAAGCCAACAACCCACAAAGCACAAAAAGCTCCTACGAAACCAACACCACAGGGTCTACTCTATGCCAATATTCAACTTTGCTCCCTTTGCCATCCCCCTTTGCTGCAAGCAGGTAATTCCTCTGCTCTTCTGAATCAGATACTTGAATTATCCAAGGATTCTCGTTATGCCTGCATGAAGAGCCTAGGACAGCTTGCCTTTGCCCAATGAAGCACATCACAATCATTCAGCCTCATGCCAAAATGGACAGTGCAGGTGCCAAACTTGCACAAGTCTTACAAGACTAAAATTGATGCACAGCCTTGTGCATTTTTTTTTAACCTGAAGGCACCTGCAGGTAACTCTCCGCCCCTCACAACAACTCCCAGCATGGAAGAGGGAAATGGTTAAGCCATCCTGCCACACGGGGGGGGGGGGGGGGGCTTAAATAAAATATTGAGATGGCAGATAAACCCCAACCTATATAATCAATCACATGACACCATTTGAATGGCAATGCCCATCAACCTGGGGGAGGGACTTGGGGAGGGACTGACACCCTCAAATATTTTATTTTATTGGGGGGGGGAGGAGAAAGGCCCCTTGGCGTTGGCTTCTACAATGCAAACTTTTGCCCAGACTTTAAAGTCCTCAAAAGGCTGCTTCTGGTTTTAAGCAAACATGTCCAAGAAGAGTTAGGTACAAAAATGCACTACCTGTTGGGCCCTTAGGCTCTCTAAAACTCAAGTTTTCACTTACAAGAGTGGAAGGAAAGCTCTACTCTTCATTCAGGCAAGTAAGGCTTGTTCCCACTACACAATTTGGCCAAGCCTGGCCTAAGCAGGCTAACTACCACCCCACAAATAAGGACTGCCACAGGAGCCCCAGACAGCATAGGGCAGAAGGGGCTGGTTAAGTTTCATTCCACTCAGCTGAATTTTTATGTCCAGTTATGTTTGCCTTCCTGCTTTGTTTCATTGTTCTGCATATAGGCCTGCGGTTATAGGGCGGTATAAAAATTCAATAAATAAAACAAATTAATAAACGTGTTTTCACCATATTCTTGACTGCCACCCTGAGACTTTCACTGAAGCGCAGCAAAAAAAGAAAATCAGGAAACCCTGTTGAGGGAAGTTTCTACGTTTGATATTTTATGGTGTTTTTAGTGTTCTGCTGGGAGCTGCCCAGAGTGGCTGGGGAAACCCAACCAGATGGGCGGGTATAATTACTAAAAAATTATTTTATTTTATATTATTATTATTATTCAAAAAAAATGTTTTCACATCATTATAAACGAACACATAAGACAAACAAACATAACTCATAGACTTATTAAAAATTACACTTATTAACATTGTTAAGTGACTTCCTCGCTTCCCCTTGGTTGAATTTCATTGCCTGTCCTTTTAACGGTTTTCCAAATCACAGTTCTTATAAAATTTAACTTAAACATTAGCATCCTTAGTATTATTATTAAAAAGAAAACCCAACCCTCCGCTTGCGCACAAGGGAAATAAGGAAGACTCCTGAAGAAGCAAGAAATAGGCGGGAAGCTGAGGCGAGCGCGGGCGCCGAGGGACCCACCTGGAAGCGCACGCGGGCCTTGCTTTCCTCCGAGGGCTTCTCCGCGGCCTCGTCTCCCCGCTTCTCCTCTGGCTGGGGCGGCGCCTCCCCCTCGCCGTCCTCCCGAGGCTTCTCCGGCTGTTCCAGGCCGCCCTCGGGTGCTGGGCCCGAGCCCTCCTTCCTCTCGGTCTTGGGGCGCGGCGGCCGCCGCTCCTCCTGCAGGTCGGCGGGGCCCTCAGCCTTCTCCCCGCCCGCGCGCGCCTCGTCGGCTTTCGGCGGCGGCGTCGAGGCGGCGGTGGGGCCGTCGGGGGGCTCGGCTTCCTCCAGGAAGGTGGTGAGGCGCCGCGGAGCCACGGGCGAGTAGACGGCGATGGTCCTGGGGAAGCGCACGGAGCGGCAGCCGCCGCTGACGGGGCTGCCTTGCTCCTGCTCGACGGCGCGGCGGCGCAAGAAGAGCGGCCGCGGCCCGAGCGAGCACTGCACCGAGGCGTCCTGGCGCGGGTTGACTTGCACGCCCACCTCCTTGGTGTTGGCCTTGCGCAGGCGGGGAGTCAGGTTGGGGTTCACCTGGGACAGGATGGCTTTCAGCTGCGCCCGCTGGTAGTTGTCGAAGTACTCGGCCGCCGCGGCCGCCACCGCCGCCGTCTCGCCATAACCGGAGAAGTAGCCGCCCCGCTGCCTCCACGGACCCTGCCCGCCTTTGCCTCTCGGGTAGCGGTAGGAGTAAGGGTTGTAGGAAGGGTACGACGAGTAGCTCTCCATGGCGTCGTCCACCAAAGTGGCCATTGCCCCGGGCTGCGCTCATCACGGACGAGGCTTAAATAGCCCGCTGGGCGGGCCCCCTCCTCTCCCGGGAGACCCAAACGAGAGTCACTCGACACAGCTGTGCGGGTCCCGTGGAGCGAGCTTTGCAAGCCTATGAGCGCTTACTTCGGAGCAAGCGCCAATTAACGTCGGGTGCTTTCCTTGGAGGAAGCGTGCGTGCGTGCATGCACGCGCGCGGCCCGCTCTGTTGTTGCAGCAGCAGGTGGTTTACTCTGCAATAAAAGGCCCCTCGATTTAGCGGCGCGTTCTTGCCATGAGTGTCCGCAGGATTGCAGCCTCACTGCGGAATGAACACCGCCGAACGCTGTAGGGTTTTCTCCCGAGTAAGCATGCAGAGGACTCGGCTGTTAACCGGTTTTCTGATGTCATATACAAATAATAATAGAAAGTAGCAGAAATGGTTAAGCGCCCTGCGTTAAAATTCCCATATGGTCGACAAATATGCATTGAAAGGGGACAGTAAACTTAATTAGGCTGTAATCCTAGGCCGGTTTACATGGAAGTAAGAACGACTGAACTCAGCAGAATTTACTTCTCAGTAAATGTACTAAAGGTCCGCCTGTAAACGGGGAAAAGTTACTTTGAAATCAGTGCTGTTCAAACCATTCAGGACTGCAATCCTGCACTCACTTATCTGGGAGTAAACTGACAGAAACTGAATGGGTTTATTTCTGAATGGGCATGTACTGGATTGTGCTATATGTATACCAAGTACTGTATATTATTTATTAATCTCGCCGCTAGGCCACATTCCACACGCGATTAATTTTACCTTGGTTACCTCTGAAGTGGTCCCACAAACTTTAATGCTATGGCATTTCAGACTTTAGTAATATTTTACAATATACACATAGTACGTTCCCATTTAGTCTAATAGTAAACATAGTTAATTGAGTAAATCCCACTAAATTCAGTAGAACTTACTTTCCGGTAAATATGTTTGGGATTACAACCTTGGTGAACCAATGAAATCTTAGCTTTGATTCCCAAGCAAGTCCACATGACCTACAGAAATAGGAGGGCACATATTGTATTCAGTGATGTATGCAAACAGAACAGAATTCAGTTCCTGGCTTCTCTGGTTAAAGGGTTAAGAAATACCCTTACTTGGCATCTTAGATAATGGTTACAATAGATCTGCATCACAGGTCCAGCTCCTTTGTTAAAACAGATTGCAGATTTTTGCTCCCAGGTATCTACCCTGAAGAGTTAATAATGCCAAGGAGCATTCGGTTTTTAAAAAGGCCCCCACTCATTCGGAAGAGAGTTTCTCTTGACTACCGCTTAGTGGGAGGGAGATCTTGTTGCTCTTCTGTCTGTGAAAAGAATGACAGCTTTGATATCAACAAGATGAAGCAGACAGTGTCTCATAAGTCCTCTTAATGGCTTGGTATCTTCAGAAGAAATTTAATCAGTGGTAAATATACAACATGAGTTCAACCTTTCCACATACACAGAAGCTGAATAATGTAAAACAGATACAAAGCTTTTAAACAGCAAATGTTGGTGACATTCAGTTACACAAGAACAAATACTATCAGCATTAATTCCCCTGTTCTTCTCTTCCCTCCCTCTCATACTAGTCTTTAAAATTACCTTATAAAACCCCTCTCTTCAGCATGCAGCCTTCCTGCTTGCTTGCATTTCAGTATACTTTATTGTGATGGCTCATATTGATTCTTTGTGGTAGCTGAGGAGGTGGTCACAGGTGACTTGCTATTCATGGACAAAAATATTGGCATTTTTACAAACCATATATGCTGAGGGAATCAAGATTACAGCAACTGTTTTGTGCCATCATCTCCCTGCCTCCTCCTTTGACTGAACAGTTTGCTACATTATCCCACAACAGGATTTCCAGTTCAGGTCCTCCCTTCCTCTAGAGGGCAGTCTGCATCGGTTCCATGAGCACTGAGGCATGGCCCTCGGCAGTCACAGTGCCATAGGAAGTATCTGGCATTTCCTCTTCCTTCAGTTTTTTGTAGGAAATGTTTGTATCTTCTTCTTCTTCCCCTACTAGAGGCTCTTGTTTGTAGGAATCCTTGCCATACACCTTATAGACCAATACAAACAGACCAGCTTCTGCAGCCTGGAAGAGAGCGTAGAGCAAGGGGAACATGTACATGCTCCCAATAAGCTCTGGAGGGAAGGTCAGTTTGAGTATAGCGGTGCAGAGCTGTACGTTTTGGCAGCCGGTCTCCAGTGACACTGTCCTCTTGCAGTGAGGTGGCAAGTGAAATAAGGTTGCTATGCCATAACCACAGCCATAGCCAGCCAAGGGCATCAGCACAGCTACTACGTAGACAGTAGCAGGGATAGTAGCCAGCAGATCAGGTCCCAACATGGTACCGGTTAGAATGAAAAGGATCACCAGGGATACCAGGAGGGACCACAATGAAACCTAGCAAAGAAAGCATTGGATTAGATAGAGTAGGATTTTGGAGGACCGCTGCTCTTAATTACATATTACTATATCAGTAAGCATACAGGTTATTTAAAATATATTTCAGGCATCAAGGGAAGCACGGAATCTGTTAAAACAAAAGACACATAAGACTGCTTCATTTGCCAAAGCATATTAATGTGTATTGGTGCTGTTATATAAATAGAAGGTGTATATTTGGTGATCACAGACAGAACTAGCAGGATTAACAGTAGAACTGCTTGTTCTGTTTCAATTTCTTATTATTTATTCCAATTTATTTATATACTGGTTTTTGTTTTTTTGGCCCAAGGCCCCCCGAAGCAATGAATGATATACTAAAACAAAATATACAGTAGAGTTCAGTGAAATGCCATAACAATATAAGACAGCAAGATTGCAACATAGGTGGGCCAAATGAAAGCCCTCTGTAGCTAGAAATTAATGGGCACTCTTAACAACCTCATATACCACATGCTTTGGGGCTAGAAAACTGAACAATGAGAAATACCAAAAAAACTTACCCCAGTATAGAAGAATTAAGGGTGCTCTCACTACCTCCCCCCATTCTAATTATGCAGAGGTGGACAAGCAGTCTATGTAATTAACGCAAAAGCATTTTTAAAACAAAAATGGATGGTCATGGTGGATCAGTTGCAGGAATTGCTGGAGAAAACTGATCATCTGAGCACATCTCAGTCTTGGTTCAGGCCTGGTAGCTTTCTGACAGTATATAACACCCATGCTGCAGGAACTGCACTCCCTGCCTATATGCTACCAGGCCATGTTCAAGGTTTTGTTACTAGTGTACAAAGGCCTAAACAACTTGGAATCAGAGTGCTTCACTCTCAGTTGGCCAACTAGATCACTGATATCAGGGAAGTTTTTAATATTTAACGCTGTACTGTTTTTAACACTTGATTGGGAGCCGCCCAGAGTGGCTGGGGAAACTCAGCCAGATGGGCGGGGTATAAATAATAAATTACTGTTATTATCATAAGGAGCTGAGTTTTCAGAAGTACCTTGTACCTCAGAAATCAAATATATTTGTACCCAGCTCAGTAACCCCTGCAATATGGAACATTCAGTGAAGGTGAGGCAGATGATGGCATTGTGTGACTCCTATGTGCCATAAGAACATTTTTATTTAAGTAAACATTTCTAGAAAGCCAATTTTATCTAGTCACGTTTAATACTCTACTGTTTTTATGATGTATGTTATTCTATATTTTAATCTGTTGTTAAATTGCCTAGAGAGCAATGGTTGTATGTGATTCTTAAATAATTAAAAATAAATAAATATTCATGATAAATTGCAAATTACTAGTGTGGCCTTCATCTGCTACCAATTTATTTATTTATTTTTACTGAAGTGGTACCTTTTGCTACTCCAAATCAAATTCCAGTGTATCTTGGGGTGGTAAAATGCCCCCTGAGAAAACCATGTGTGTTGTTGGAAAATGCTATGGGGCATTTATTTTACCCCACCCTTTTTATACTGGGCCAAAAAAAAACCAAAACAAAAAACAAGAAAAATGCACCACAATGGCAAAAAAACACATTTTATGTCACAAGCCACTTCTATTTTCCCAGAAAGAAAACTGCAAGCAGCTGAAATTTAGAAATAGGGTTTACTACTATGCATATGGCAATGTCGTAGGAGGACTACTGTGTGTGAATTCCTTCTGTGTAAATTCTGTAACAAAACAAAAAAATTGCTCTCAAGGCAGGATTTCACCTCGCGATACTGGACAGGGGATCATTGGCTGCAGTTTACACTGTTGATCCCTCTAGCTTAGCTTTGCCTGCTTTGACAACGACTCTGCAAGACCTCAGATACCGGCAGCCCTGCTAGAGCGGTTCTTCACTTGGAAAGCAAACATGGCGCTCTGCAAATAATGCAAAGGGGTCCTGTGCCTTCAGGACATACATGCTCTCCCACTGCCTCACTGGAGCAACACTTTAATTTCTTTGTTAAAATTGCATTCTTACATTCATATATACCACTTTAGCTCCAAGGAGCTGAAAGTGGTATATTCCTCCTAATTTTTTTTTATCCCAACGTCCTTGTGAGAAAGAGTAGGCTGAGAGGCAGTCACCAAGCGAGCTTTGGGGCTAATTGGGGATTTGAACCCAGGTCTCCGTGGCCCTATAGTTTGACACTCTAATTACACCACTGCTCTTGGTTCTAGCTAGATGGAACTGTAGTCCGTGCCTGTATTAAGGCTCCTCCCTGTATCCCCTGTAAAGGTGGGCATCTGGGGCCTGGCTTACCTTCAGCAGGATGTCTGCCACCCTGGTGAACCTGTATCGGATGAAGACCCCAATGCCGATGGGGAGCAGAGTGCTGCATAAGGTCATGGTGACGGCGCCCAGGGGCAACAGGCGCACTAACGGGGTGTTGATCCAGGCTCGGCTGTAGATCCACAGGCAAAGAGGCATCAAGACCAGAGCAAGCAACGTAGACGATGTGGTCATGATTATACTGCCAGAGACGAGAGAAAACAGAGTTCCCAGAGGGAAAGGTACGTGATGTACTGAAGTTCCTTCCACCGCCCCATTCACTTTCCACAGGCTGCTCAGATGGCACATTTTATTGCAGTAGCCTCTTCCCTTTAGTCTTTCCAACCTCACACTGTCAGTGGGAACCTCCTGCTTGGCTGCTAATTTTATATGGGTGATTTCTGCCTTTTACACTCTGTGTGTGTGTTGTAGAAACAGAAGCTGGTAGTTTTGAAAGAGAAAGGCACCCTTCCCAATTCGTTACAATGCACTGTTCTCGCCATGGCATGATGTGCTGCTGTCTCTCATCTATCCAGTGCAGGCTTTACTTAAACACATTATCTCTCTTCCCCACAGTCCACACTTTTCTCCCCTCCCTCCCCATCGTTAAAAACTTCCTCCCCACGCACACCCCAAACGCTGTTTTCCAGCACAGCTGCCTGCAGGGCGTGTCTGGCTATCAAGGTTCACAGCACACACTGGCACAGCTTGCTCTCCTCTTTGTGCCGGCTTCAAGTGAAACTAGAGGGTCTCGGAAAGCGGTGAGAGAAGCAAGAGCTTAGCGGCTTACAAAAAGATGTACTGTGCAAAAGCAGAAGGCTGCCCACATTGTCTGGCTGTACCCCATAGCCCTGTCTTGCCTCCCCCCCCAATTAATTCTTAATTAATAGAAACAGCTGGTGGGGATTAAAGACTGCAGGGAAAGTTCTTCCCCAAGCCCAAATGCACAGGTTTGTGGGTGATTCCTAGCAGAGCCTCTGCGCCTTTCACTGGTGTGTAACAGGCAGACATTCAACAGGTGCATCCTTTCTCAGGCTGGAGATGCAGCGACGGGCGAAACTTCCATTGGGAAAGGCAGATATCTCCAGGCACTCTGCACTTGCTCAGTGGCACTTGCCTCTTTGCCCCACCCTCTGGGAACAGGGCATACATAACAACTCATCTGACGTTTGCTCGGGAGTTTTACATGTCATCTCTCCGTTCCTTTTCCTCGCAGGACCTCCGTGCCTTGAGCAGGTGCTGTGACGGATAAGATATTCTACGGGTGGATTTGGCTTTCATCGTGGGGGGGAGAGAGGAGGGCGCTACACCTGTTGAATGTCTGCTCGCCGTCCCAATGAGAATGGAGTTGGAGCTCTGCCAGGAAACAATGCAACTTTAGACAGTGCGTTAAAGCGAAAATAACCGATTTCAGACAGAAGCACCCACAATCTCTCTCCTCTCCGCTTCCTCCTGCAGGAGAAACACCCTCAGTCTCGCTGCCACCCTTTTCCCTAGAGGGGGCGTTCGCTGCCCCAGAGATGGGTGGGGTATAAATAATAAGATTTATGTATGTATGTATGTATGTATGCATTTGTATTAGTAGTAGTAGCAGCAGCCGCATTGTTATTAGTAGCATTACTATTATTATTATTATTATTATATTTTAATCAACTTGTTTTTATTATTGGTTGTTAGCCGCCCTGAGCCCGGTCTTTGGGAGGGCGGGGTATAAATAAAAAATTAGTAATAGTAGTAGTAGTATTAGCAGTAGTCTTGTTACTAGCCCGCTTGGTTCTTCTTGCCCAGCGGACCCCCACCCAGCCTCCAGCTTGGCCCTCCTTCCCCTTCGGGTACCTGAGGTTCATGTCCCCGTTGACCAGGAGCGACATGATGTTGGAGAGGTTCCCCCCGGGGCAGCACCCGCACAGCAGGACGGTGACGGCTGCCACCTCGTCGAGGGCGAAGACCAGCGCCATCAGGAAAGCCACGAAGGGCATGAGCCCGAACTGGCACAGCAGCGCCAGCAGCAAGCCCAGGGGCCGCCTCAGCTGCGCGCCCAGCTGGCTCATTTCCACCGTGCAGCCCAAGCCCAGCATGGCCACGAAGAGAGCCAGCGCCACGAAGACGCTCAGAGCCTGGTTCAAAGGGGTGTTCCAGAAAGACGCAGAGCCGCTGTCTTCTCGGGGCGCCAAGCCGGCCGTGGGCGCCCACGACGCAGCCGGGCTGGGGACGGGGCTCTCGCTCCCGCTGCCTGAGGGGACCGTGAGGTTCCCGCGCTCTTCCCAGGAGCTGTCCATGGCCCCAGGCGCGCTCTCCAAGCGTGCGTCTCCCTCGGACGCGGAGCTGCAAGTGAGGCGAGAAGTGAGGCGCGCCTGAGGAGCCCCCGTCAGTTGGGGACGGACAGACAGACGGGTGGACGAATGAGAGGGGGAAGCAGCTGAGGAGGCTGTCTGTGCGTCTGTCAGTCACTGCAACAGGCGCCCTCCGCCGCTCCTTCGGGACCTTGCCTCGCCGGCGGCCGCATCCTTGGGAAGCTCTCGCGCGCCAAACTCACCGCTTTATTGGCTCTTTCCCGCCGGCGGCGGATGGATTTCTTGCATCGCATCACGTGTCAGTGAGTACCTTGCGCTCCTTCTCTACAAAGGACAGGCGCCTTCTTCCCAATCTCGTTCCCAAACTGCGGTTTTTGTTTTTGTTCTATTTCGTTTTCAAAATTAAAACACACACACACACAGAAATCCATGGCTGATGGCCAAGGGTGGCTGAAACCCTCCTGAGAAATTCCCGCTTGAGAAGAAAACTTAGTGCCACTCCCCTGAAAAACCTTCAAATTCTTTGCAGCTCCTGGTTACAAATGCAGGCGAAATTCAGACGATATTTCATCCCTCTCCCCTGGAAAGTGAGCAGAGTGAGACTCTTTCTGCCTTTCCTCCCCCCCCCCCAAAAAAAATATTATTCAGGCATCTTGGCGGAGCAGGACTATCCAAATTTTCTTTGGGTGTTTCACTTTTTTTGGCATCTTGTCCGAGCAGGAACATCCAAATTTGGGATACTGTATTTCACCTTTTTTGGGCAAAATTTGACAGCGATTCCAACTATTAACAGCATAAGTCCTAACCATGACTTCTCAGAAGTCCTGTCGAATTTGATAGAGCTTACTCGCAGGTGAACAGTTAGTATTGCAGCCTAATTGATTCAAGGGTCCTCCTCTCTGTGACAGGGAGAGTGCATGTTCTCCATCCTTCAGCTATGGTATTTTTATACAAGGGGTGGGGGAATCAATAATTCCATCCAACAGTGTCACGACGGCCGTGAGAAATGAGGCTCCGCGAGTGTGCAAGCCCCATTAGTGGCTCTGCAAGAGCACTTAGCGCCTGGCAGATTGGGCGCATAAAAACAGGGACCAATTGTACACACTCACGCGCTGCCATTTTCTGAGCCTTTCTTAAAATTATCCTTTAAGGCTGAATGCCACCTGAGCACAGGAATAAAATGCATGAATGCCAGTGATGCTACCTACATGCTATTTTTCTATATATATATACATACACACACACACACACACACACACACACACACGTGTCCGACTCTTTGTGACCCTGTGGACCAGAGCATGCCAGGCACTGCTGTCTCCCACTGCCTCCCGCAGTTTGGTCAAACTCATGTTCGTAGCTTCGAGAACACTGTCCAACCATCTCGTCCTCTGTCGTCCCCTTCTCCTTGTGCCCTCCATCTTTCCCAACATCAGGGTCTTTTCCAGGGAGTCTCTCTCTCTCTCTCTCTCTCTCTCTCTCTCTCTCTCTCTGTATATTTTCTTCCAAATCCATGCTCTCCCTGCCCCCATCCATTACAAGAAATAGTTCTCTTGTCTCTTTAAAGAAATGCATGGCACTACAGCCTTAAGCGTAAAGCATATTAAGAGCTCACAACACAGACATGGATGAAGGCTTCCTCCTGCACGTGGGCTGGAAAAAGAAGCGGGTGGCAATAGCTTGGTGGTATAATAGCATATGCTTGGCATGCAGACAGTCTTGGTGTCAGACACTGTTGTCTTCAGCCAACAGGGTTAGGCAGTAAGTCTTGGGAGAGACCCATTGTTGCTTGAGATCCTGGAGATCTGCTGGTGGTTAAAGTAGCCAAGATGGGGCGACACGGGCAATGCCTGGCATAAGGCAATTTCCTATGTTCGCATCAGTCATCCTTCAGTCATCCTTGTGTGCTGTTGCAAACAAACAGTCCCAACTCCTGGCCTGACTGAGTAAAGCTGGGAAAGCCTTCTTACTGGAATCCTGGATAGCTACTGCAGTTAGTGTAGACCATGGGTAGGCAAACTAAGGCCCAGGGGCTGGATCCAGCCCAATCGCCTTCTAACTCTGGACCGCGGATGGTCCAGGAATCAGTGTGTTTTTACATGAGTAGAATGTGTCCTTTTATTTAAAATGCATCTCTGGGTTATTTGTGGGGCCTGCCTGCTGTTTTTACATGCATTGAATGTGTGCTTTTATTTCAAATGCATCTCTGGGTTATTTGTGAGGCATAGGAATTCATTCATTCCCCCCCACCATATAGTCCGGCCCCCCCACAAGGTCTGAGGGACAGTGGGATGGCCCCCTGCTGAAAAGGTTTGCTGACCCCTGGTGTGTAGACCTACTGCGACTAGATGAATCAATGGGCCTGAGAATATAAGGAATATGACAGCATGCCCAGGAAAGAAGCGGGGGGGGGGGGGGAGCAAATTAAGCACGAAATGATGTGGGCGGATGTTGTTCTTTGTGATACAGGCATGATCCAATCGGTGCCTGTCAAGCAGTGATCTTCTGTTATGTCAACGGCAATAAATAATTATCATGTTTGCTGGGCTGCTGGATGAGAAAGGAGAAGATTGCTTTTTCAAGCCAGCAATGTACAGTGGTACCTCGGGTTAAGTACTTAATTCGTTCTGGAGGTCCGTTCTTAACCTGAAACTGTTCTTAACCTGAAGCACCACTTTAGCTAATGGGGCCTCATGCTGCTGCCGCGCTGCCGGAGCATGATTTCTGTTCTTATCCTGAAGCAAAGTTCTTAACCCGAGGTACTTTTTCTGGGTTAGCAGAGTCTGTAACCTGAAGAATATGTAACCTGAAGCGTATGTAACCCGAGGTACCACTGTATTGCTGTGAGATTTGCTGGGGAAACTGGATGATATTTCCAAAACCAAATCACTACAGGAATGAAAGCTGCAAGTGTTCCACACAATATATCTAGTGTGGAAGAAACATTAGCAGACAAAAAATATTTCTATTTGGTGATGCACATAGCTATCCTTGTTTTATAGACACCAATTGAACCTGTCTTTTCTAAGTCTCCCTCCCGTAATTTAAACCTACTGTTATTAGCCCTCTCCTCTACTATTTCTTTCTGATAATCTTTTAGATATTGACCCATCTCCTGCCCTCCTCCCTCCACTTAATCTTTGTTTCTTCAGGCTAAACATGTTCAGTTCCTTCAGTTTTCCCTGAGGGCAAGATAAGTGTACAGTCTTTTTTATCTACAAATGTAACTTCTGAAATGTGGGCTGGTGTTAGAGATATTTGCACAGCCATATTCTGCAGAATTAGCTATAGAGGAACTTTTACGCTCAATTTTAGCGAGGACAGCTTTGCACAGAGTAAATAAAATTGCTCCTTTCACTCCAGTTTCTAACCTACCTTTTATTATTTGCAGTTGGGTTTTGTAGGGTAAATGTTATGTTGAAGGCAGGCGGAAGCAACTCATCTGTGAGAGCACATTTGCAAGTATAATAAGAGAACATTTGGGAAATTGATACGCCCTAAAGGACAAAGAGACATAGTGATTCAATCATCACTATACCACCCTGAGTATTCAGTTCTTAACCAGTGTAGTAAACTATCACAAAAAGGGTATGCTAATCAAACAGGCAGTGTTGTGCAACAGGCAGCCTGTGAGCCAAATCTGGTCCAAAGCCAGCCACTATTCTGCAATGCTGTTTTATTGGCATTTTTAGCTCTGGTTAATCTCTTCAGTTCTGGTAAATCAGCTGTTCTTAGAAAGCAGAACTGGCTGAAACAAATTGGTTGTGCTGCTGTCTGTGCAATCTCTCTCCAAGTCACTGCAGCACTGGTTCTTTCAGTATAGATTAAACATGGCCCCCACTGAAAGAAGCAAATCGAAATGAAAAGAACAAGGCAATCTTGCCCTGTTAGATCTTATAAGCCAAGCAGGCTAAGGGTTGAGCCATCAGGGGATAGGGAACATCTCCCTAAGGAAAGCACTCTGTACATTGACAGGTAACAATATAACTGAAGCTGATCAGTTGGTAAGACAATGTCCTGGACCACTCTACCCTTGTTGTTGTTGTTGTTTAGTTGTTTAGTCGTGTCCGACTCTTCGTGACCCCATGGACCAGAGCACGCCAGGCACTCCTGTCTTCCACTGCCTCCCGCAGTTTGGTCAAACTCATGCTGGTAGCTTCGAGAACATTGTCCAACCATCTCGTCCTCTGTCGTCCCCTTCTCCTTGTGCCCTCCATCTTTCCCAACACCAGGGTCTTTTCCAGGGAGTCTTCTCTTCTCATGAGGTGGCCAAAGTATTGGAGCCTCAGCTTCAGGATCTTTCCTTCCAGTGAGCACTCAGGGCTGATTTCCTTAAGAATGGATAGGTTTGATCTTCTTGCAGTCCATGGGACTCTCAAGAGTCTCCTCCAGCACCATAATTCAACCATAGCTGTAACACTCTACCCTAGACTATGTGACAAAAAGCAATATACGTCAGATTGGAAGTGAGCAATTGTTGTCAGCAAACACAGCACAATAAGCTTGCAAGGGTTCTCTGGCAACACCCTGGGTTGAATTAGCTCTCTAACTATTAAAATAATGGTATGCTGGATGACTTTGAGCAGATATGGTGGTGACAGTTAGGAGGTCTTTACTATTATCACTGCTACCAAACTCTGCCTTGTGTTGAAATTTGAGGGTCCAACTTGTGAATGAGATCTCATCCCTCTTTCTTTCTTTCTTTCTCTCTCTCCCTTCCCAAAGAGAATAATTTAAAAGGAGTATGAAAAAGGGGTAAGAGGGAGAGACAGTAAATATGCATAGCCAGGAGGAAAAAACACTGGCTCTGAGCAGCCAATTGCAGGAGTTACATATAGCGTAGAAAGTGGGCATAATACTTTTTGAGGGCCTGGAGAGAAAGTGACCAGGGTGTCACTGGCAAGGAGATATGGTACTGTCAGAGGGTTAGACAGCAAACCTTCCTCAGTTTGTGTAAGATTTGGTGGATGCTGTGTAGTCTGTCCACCTCTAGGGAATGTAAGCTGAGTGGAACTGCAGGTTTTAAAAGAGACAGGTTGAGGCTAGAACTGTGCCACAGAGTGAAGTAGGAAAAGATTAATGAGCCAGCTGGAGTTGTGGTATTAACTGGGAAAAAACGAGGTTTCTGCAAAGGAAAAGAAATAAAAAGTCTCTCAGGGAAAGAAGTAATGTAAAATGACTGATTTATTAGCCGCAGGTTGACAATTTAGAAGACCAAGCAAGGCAAAGATATGGCAATGGATGTAAACTAAATTAGGTTGATTATGAGATAGATGTCGGGGGCTGAAGCTGGGATTGAAAGCAACTACACTGGCCAAGGAAAGTCAACAGAGTATGGAACAGCCTTTTGAAATGTGCAAAGAACTGTCTGATCTTCATTGCAGCTGCTGAGGTTGGCTACAACGATTTACCTTCTATAGTTAGGGGACCTGAAGCTGAGAGATGGTGACTTTTCAAAACAAGAGAGTTCAGGAGGGAGGTAGGACTCTCATATTCAAGGTTTCCCATACCTAAGTTGAATTCTCCATCCACTATAAGCAATACATTGGCTAGATTGGTTATTTAGCCCTGCCACTCCCCCCCCCCCAAAGCACCCTCCTTCCTTCCTCTGCTCCTATTTCCTGGTTCCATGAAACAGGCTGTGGGAACAGCCACTGCAGGCATTCTGCTTGAGCTAAGAAGTATCCAGAATCAAGTAGAGGGGCTATGCCAGTCTCTGTGAAAAATTTGATCCATGCTCTCCCCTGGGAGTCTTACCTGGCCCCTTCATTACATGTCTTTAGGCACCAGGCAA